AAACATTATATTTATAGGAAATTTAATTCTAGGTTTCTCTTCTCTAAGCTGAAAACTATCAATGGTGTCCAGCGCTTATTAATAAGAAGAAAACTTATACAGTATGTTTGGATATTGGCGTTTTGTTCATTCCCTTTAGGTCACATGTTCTATTTTTAATTTTTGTTTTTTTTATTACCCAATTTAAAGGGTTGAAATTAATAAAAATTTTACTTGATATTCCCATGTATTTTTTAATGACTTTTTTAACACTCTAAAAATAACCTTTTAAGTCTGAGAAGCTTCCCCGGGGGCTACGCCCCCTGGGTCCCCACCCAGGGACTCTGCCCCCTGGACCCGTGCAGTGATTTTCCTTTACTTATTATAACAGGACTCCGAAAAAAGGCCTCTTCCCAATTGAAATTTTCTTTAAAATCATGCAGTTTTCCCAAAAATCTTAACTTAAACCAATTTTTTTACTTCCCAAATCAAAAATTTTAGCGATAAGTTTTCCCAAAATCAAGAGGCTAAGGCCTCTTCCAAATTAAGTGAGAAAAATCACTGCCCTGTAAGGGGGCTCAGGCCGCCCCCTTAACCCCAGGCCAATTTTCAGAGCAAACTTTTATAAGACAATCACATCCCTGACTATTTAGTGTTGTATTAATGCGGTGGCATAGCATTTTTCTCATGTTTACAAATATAAATTTTTGGTCTTCAGAGTGGACTTATTTAACTAGAATAAATTTGATTTGGTATAAAAGTGAGAAAAAAAACAAAACGATTTCCACGTGTTGATGCATTATAATTTTATTGTTTCATAATAAATATTAACAACAAAACAATAATTATACTATGTAGTTTCCAGAGTTTGTTTTTGAATAACTATAAACTTTGAAAAGTCTCTTGAAGATTCAAAATATCAGCAAAGCATTAAATGACTATCTGTAAAAAATTAATTGCGACGCGCCTTTCGGACTTTGCAGGCTAATGGGAGTCCTGGACTTCCATGTTTTAAAAGTCCTAGTGAGAACCCTTTGCATGTACACCATGTGTTATTGACCTCAATAAATGGGTAAGTAAAAATGGAAAAACCAATTTAATTATTTGGTAATTAAATCCATGGTGGCTTAGAAAATACTTAATTATCTTTATCATTAATTGTTAACTTAAGCAAGAAGCGTTATAAATTTAAAAATTACCTAACCTTACCAATAGTATCTATTTAAACTTGAAAATCTAACTCAAAATGGGACTTCCCCAAACCAGTAATTTTTGGGAAACATAAAATGGATTTTATTGTAGAAAAATTTAACACAAGAAAAAAACTGTTTTTAAAAAAGAAAAATATTTTTTAAGGGATCTTTTCCCTTTAAAGGTGACGACATGGGCCCACCCATGGCTCTCTGTTTTCAATCAGGTATGTTCGAAAAATTTCCCAAAACCCAACAAATATGCTTTTCCCATTTTTGACAATCAATATTAATTTGGGTCAGGGATCATTTCCCTTGTTTTTTTTTCCCCCCGGGAAATATATAATTAAACCGCCCGTTTATTGTCCGTACGGGGTTTAACCCCTAGTTTTTTTCTTAATTTTTCCCCCTGTCCCCAAGGTTTTCTTATTTTACACACTTTAAACAATAAAAAGTCCCATGTTTTGGTCAAGTTACATAACTATGGGTTTCCCTTTTTTACCAAGTTTTTTCCCCTTTTCCCCGGGCCATTTTGGGAAAATGAAAAATGGTTAACCTAAAAAGGGCATTTGGAAATATCTTAATTCTATTTTATCCCAAAGGGCTTCATAATTTCCACACTTGCTTATCAATACAAAGTACATGATATCGCCAAGTTATATAACTGTGTCATCCATATTTCCCAGTTATTTCCCTTTTTTCACTTTGAAAATAGGGCCTTGTCTGGTTAACCTATTCCGGCAAGTTGGATTTATCTTAAATTTCTCTTAATAGTCAATATATAGTTATAAATTGTACCTAATTCTTAGGCCAATACATAGTTACAAAGTCTTCTTAGGCAAATGTATACAAAGTCTACTTAATTCTTAGGCAAATATTTAGTAACAATGTCTACTTAATTCAAAGTTTTTACACTAATAGTGATTTGTTACCTTATATTGTTAGACACCTACAGTTAAACCTGTGTTATTGTTCTCATAACCACATTTGAAAAAAGTATTGATGTAAGGAATTTTGCCATTTATTCTGTGGGGGCAATTTTATATTTATACAGTAAAAACTGTTTACAGTGACCTTCGATGGGAGAAAAGAAAAAAGGTCGAGTCACTGTGGATAGTCTCTACATAATTCAGATATATGAACTTATCATACCAGTATTTTGTTGAAAAGCAGGATAGTACCATACTTAGGGTTTAATTATATTTTTATGCCCCCACAATGTGGGAGCATATAGCGTTGCACTTGTCCGTCAGTCCGTACGTCCCGAAATCTTGTGACACAACTCCTCTTAAACCGGATGGCAGATTTTGCTTAAACTTACAGGGATGAACAACCTTAATGTGTAGATGGTAGTAAAGGAAGGAATTTTCGCTGCAACCAAATTTAACAGAATTATGGCCCTTTGTTGATTTTTTCACTATATACTATGTAGAAATTTTGTGAACGCAACTCCTCTTAAACCGGATGGCAGATTTTGCTTAAACTTACAGGGATAAACAACCTTAATGTGAAGATGGTAGTAAAGGAAGGAATTTTTGCTGTGACCAAATTTAACAGAATTATGGCCCTTTGCTGATTTTTTCACTATATACTATGTAGAAATTTTGTGAATGCAACTCCTCTTAAACCGGATGGCAGATTTTGCCTTAACTTCCAGGGATGAACAACCTTAAAGTGTAGATGGCAGTAAAGGAAGGAATTTTTGCTGCAACCAAATTTAAAAGAATAATGGCCCTTTGTTGATTTTTTCATTATATACTATGTAGAAATTTTGTGAACGCAACTCCTCTTAAACCGGATGGCAGATTTTGCTTAAACTTCCAGGGATTAACAACCTTAATGTGTAGATGGAAGTAAAGGAAGGAATTTTTGCTGCGACCAAATTTAACAGAATTATGGCCCTTTGTTGATTTTTAGTTTTCAACTTGTGGCACATATAGTCCAAAAAATATTTGACCTAGAGTCATAAGATTGACAGAACAGTGGCGTGTGGGGGCATCCGTGTCCTATGGACACATTTCTAGTTTATTTATATTAAACATACCAAATATCATTCATAAAAAACAGGACAGTATTAAAATTGCATGTCATAATAATTGGTTTAGACTATAAACTACACCATTACATAAATTACACCATTTTAATTTTACTAATGAGATGTTAGAGACATTTTATTTGAATAATCAGCCTGTTTACTTTATGTAGTTCAATGTATTAATAAAACATTAGATATAAATCTTCACATAATTTTTACAGATAAGTGCTCCGAAAAAAAATTTAACAATCAAGGTTTCGAACATAATAAACCACACCTTTAAGACGTTTGGCATTGTTTATCTTTACTTGCCAAAACACCGCAGCAATTATGTATATGCAGGTGTCTTTAATCACTCAATCGGCGAAAATTGATTGGATCTGTCGCCATTTTGTGTAATTGTCAACAAACAGCCACAGTGTATTAGCGTGTCGCCGATTGGTCAATGCAAACTGCCGTAGATACAATGCGCGTTCTGATTCTTCAATCGCATAAATACATAAAGATATACATAGTGAACTCTTGCCTTGCGGCGTGTATTAGACTTTGTTGATGTTGACACGCTTTCTTAACTAGCGGATTAACAGTAATTGGTTGTAATTGAGAGGTAAACAAATTGTTAAAGACCTAGCAGCGTAAATAAGTATGACAGCTCATTAAAAAAAATCAGGCGACTTCAAAATCTCTTTAAAGTTTGTTTTAGGTGAAGTCGCTGATCCGAAGGCGACTTCTTTGCTCAAGTCGCCCCCTAGCTCAAGCCCTGCTCCTCTTGCAAAAGTCGCTTTTCACGGCGCAAATACCGTATCGGATGACTAAATCATGTTCGTTCTACGTGCTAGACAGGGAGTCGCTACAGACCATTTATATAGTAAATTCTGTTGGGCGCACCTAACTATGGTCACTAAAGACAGAATGTCGCTATATACAGGGGGTCACTAAGACAGTCTTTACTGTATTTGAACAATCATTGTATGCTATTTCTTTTTAAAACCTGTGATCAAAGACTACATTTCCATTACACACAGGTTTTTGTTTTTAGCTCACCTGTCACAAAGTGACAGGGTGAGCTTTTGTGATCGCTTTTTGTCCGGCGTCCGTCCGTCGTCCGTCCGTCGTCTGTCCGTCCGTAAACTATTACTTTAAATGACATCTCCTCATAAACCACTTAGCCAATTTCATCCAAACTTCACAGGAATGTTCCTTTGGTGGTCACCTTTAAAAATTGTTCAAAGAATTTAATTCCATGCAGAACTCTGGTTGCCATGGCAACTGAAAAAAAACACTTTAAATATCCTCTTTTAAAAAACCATAAGAGCTAGAGCTTAGATATTTGGCATGAAACATCTTCTAGTGAGTGTCTACCAAGTTTGTTCAAATAAAAGCCCTGGGGTCAAAATTGGCCCCGCCCCGGGGGGCCATTGATTTTCCCTATATGCATATAGTAAAAACTTAAATAATCTTCTTTTAAAGAACCCAAAGAGCTAGAGCTAAGATATTTAGCATAAAACATGTTCTAATAGGTGTCTACCAAGTTTGTTCAAATAAAAGCCCTGGGGTCAAAATTGGCCTGCCCCGGGGGGGTCATTGATTTTCCCTATATGCATTTAGTAAAAACTTAAAAAATCTTCTTTTAAAAAACTCAAAGAGCTATGGCTAAGATATTGAGCATCAAACATGTTCTAATAGTTGTCTACCAAGTTTGTTCAAATAAAAGGGGGGGCTATATACAGGTGAGCGACCTCAGGGCCATCATGGCCCTCTTGTTATTGGAAGTATTTGTTTTCATATATTTGTAGGGAGACAAATTGATTCATTCCTGAATAGGCCGGCACACACGATGACCCCTCCACAGGTACTAGAAGCTATAGTTTTTTATCAAAGGTTAGAAGCAACTGGATTTTATGACACAGGTGAAATATCTTAACTAAACTTTCTTGTTAATCTGTCAGCAAAATACTCTTACAGGAATGAATAAATAATATAAAACAAGCAGCATCACAAAGTAATGTGTGGTTTATTGAAGAGATTTTGCTGAAGGAATCTTTATGCCCCCACAAAGTGGGAGCATATAGCGTTGCACTTGTCTGTCCGTCCGTCCATCCCTCCGTACGAAATCTTGTGAACGCAACTCCTCTTAAACCGGATGGCAGATTTTGCTTAAACTTCCAGGGATGTTCAACCTTAATGTGTAGATGGTAGTAAAGGAAGGAATTTTCGCTGCGGCCAAATTTAACAGAATTATGGCCCTTTGTTGATGTTTTCACTACATACCTAATAGAAATTTTGTGAACGCAACTCCTCTTAAACCGGTTGGCAGATTTTGCTTAAACTTCCAGGGATGAACAACCTTAATGTGTAATAAATAATATAAAACAAGCAGCTTCACAAAGTAATGTGTGGTTTATTGAAGAAATTTTGCTGAAGGAATCTTTTTATTTTGTCATTTGCTTAACCTTTTCCCTGATACAAGGGACTTTCGCCGACTTTTATCATTCCCCGATAGAAGCGAGAATTGACCGCTTTATCGATTACCTCATGTTATCGAGAGACATCGACTTGCATGATCTCAATGGAAGCGAGAATCGATGACTTTACTTTTACCTGTCCAAAAATCGCTAATTTAATACGAAAATTAGCCTGTAAAGTGTGTTATCGTAAAGATTGATCAATCATGAGGGCATTCCATGCATAAAATTAGGGTGTTACTTTTTATAGTATTTACATAAAAAGCGACCAACCAAGCTAGGAGTTTTCCTTACGTCACGCACTTACTGCATGCGCGCGTTAATTAACTAATTATAGAACATATCAAATTGAGGTGTGGAAACTGGATTAAAAATACTGTATACATATTCAACTAATGAATATTAATTAAGCATTAACATGGTCACTTGTTTTCCATGTGATATATTTAATGTGCTTTAGGGTACATGTTTATGCTCCCCTAAAAATTTCGGGGGAGCATATAGTCGGCGCCTTGTCCGTCGGTCCGTCTGTCCGTCCGTTGTCTTATCCTGAGCATAACTTGAAAACCCTTGGAGATAAATTGTTTAAACTTCATACAGTGGTAGAGGGCATTGAGGGGGAGTGCAGTGTCAAAGAACCATAACTCTATTTTGCCCGGTTTTTGAATTATCTCCCCTTATAGAAAAATCTTGTCCGGGACATAACTCTAAAACTATAAGAGATATCAACATGAAGAGAGGTTTTATTTAGAAGGTTGATGAATTTATCACACCACAACACAAGATACCCCACCACGGTGTCAAGAAAGACTCAGTCACAACATTGATACGCATTGTATATGACTGTTGTTGTCATCAGTCATGTGACCAACCAACTTGAACCAAGCTTAAATGACTGTTTGAAGTCTACGCCACCACGATCTCACTAAAATTCTTATCCATTTTTGGTTACACAGATATGCTGTTACTACCGACATAGAGAAGGCTTTTCTACAAATACAGCTTGCAGAAGAAGACAGAGATGTAACAAGATTTCTTTGGTTAAGTGACCCCAAAAATCCCGACAGTACTTTGATCACCTACAGGTTTAAAGCAGTTCTGTTTGGTGCAACATGTTCCCCGTTCATTCTTAATGCAACGATTTTAAAACATCTAGCAAGTAACAGTGATGTATGGGTCAGTAGTATTTTAAGAAGAGATTTGTATGTGGACAACGTTTTGTCAAGCTTTGAAGATGAAAACCAGACACTTGCTTACTTCCACGATTCACGAAAGCTTATGTCGTCTGCAAACTTTAACTTACGCTCTTGGAATTCAAATAGCCAGAAACTACGAAATTTAGCCTTAAACTACGACGTACAAGATACAGATAAAATCACAAAGATACTTGGAATGCGATGGAATACAGAGACAGACATGTTGACTTTTCAACAAACCTATATACCAGTCACAGATACTACAACGAAACGAGAAATCTTGCGACAGACGTCAAAAATGTTCGATCCTCTTGGTCTACTTAGTCCGGTTACGGTACGTGCTAAGATTATATTGCAACAAATTTGGGAAGAAAAGTTTGATTGGGATACTCCACTTCCAGCAAATATACAAAAGAGGTGGAAAAATCTTGCTGCAGATTTGACTACACTATCCACCACACAATACAGACGTTGCTTTTTTCCCGGAGCAGACGAGAAAATTAGACAAGCAGACGACCATTCACATACAACCTTGCACGTGTTTGTAGATGCTAGTCAGTCATCATATGGAGCTGCAGCTTACCTTTCCAATGGTCAAAATTCATCACTTATTATGGCAAAGAATCGTGTGGCACCTCTTAAAAAACTTACGTTACCTCGACTTGAATTAATGGCAGCTGTAATAGGTGCTCGACTTTTAAGCCACATAAAGAAGACATTAAAACACACAAATTTCTATCTTTGGTCAGACAGTCAGATTGTTTTACATTGGTTAGAAACAGTTAAAACTTTACCCCGCTTCGTGAGGAACAGAGTCGAAGAAATACAAAAACTGACCGGGGACCGGAAATGGAAATACTGTCCAACCAACTTTAACCCAGCAGATTTACTTACCCGTGGTATAACAGCGACCCAGTTTGTCAATAACAGCCTTTGGCAATATATCAATCAAGCCCGTCCCTAGATTTGCCACTTCAATGCCACCCTTTCCAATGGTGGAGTATTTAGACAATTTTCCACCAAGAATGCCACCAAACCACCACCTTAATCATAAAAATGGTGAAAAATTTGAGCAGGACTGATGGTAGAGAATTTTCTAGTAAATTCCACTTTTTTTACACTTAATGCCACCTGAATGAGTGGAAAGTTGGTGGAGTATTTAGACAAACTTTCACCTTAGGGTGGCAAATTCATTTTCCACTAGACGCCACTTGTTTCCACTTATTGCCACCATCAGGGTGGAACGTTGGTGGAGTATTTAGACAAATTTCCACCATTATGCCACCATTGAGTGGAAACTCATATTCCACAAAATGCCACTTATTTCCACCTTTTTCCACCATTTAGGTAGAAAGTTGGTGGAGTATGTAGACACTTTTTCACCATTTTGCCACCATTGAGTGGCAAATTCAGTTTCCACTAAATGCCACCTATTTTCACCTTTTCCACCTTGTGAGTAGCAATAGCTGGAAACTGCTTGAAAAACACCCTGTACCCTAAAAGGGAAACAAAAACAAAACTTTAAAAATAATCTTTTTTAATTTAATGTCTCCTTTTGAAATTATTGTCTCAAAAAATAGCAAAACGTTAGTCCAATTATTTTCTTCAGTTTATCTTGCTAATCACCCTCCAAATTTCAGTCCTTGGGGTTGTTGGCCACTTTTCTAGCACACAGTCTAAAACAAAAAATATTTTGAATGATTAATAGAATAATTAAAAGAATTAGCTTACTTTTTTATATGACTATTGGATATTTCTATGTTAAAGTTGAATTCATAGATATGATTAAAGCACTTTGACAAACCAGCATTGCAGACATGGAAGAAGTATGTGCAGACTTTTATAATTTACTCCAAGGCAGAAAATATACCCAAAATAAAAAAGGATATTTTAATTCATTAGTTACCTTTCAAGAACTTAAGTTTTGCCTTCACTGCAAGAGCAGGTCTGGCGTCAGACTGTCTGTTCCCTTTCCTCATACCAAACAATGAGCGGCCTTTAATCTCTTCATATTGAAAAGCATTCTGAAAAACCTTGTTGTACCCTTCGTAGGTGAGCCATAGTGCCACAGTTCTGTTATCACTTGGTCTTAAAATATGATTATCAATATCCAATAGGTAAACACAGAAAATGAAACACTTTTATAAAATCTTGAGAATATGTATACAACTCTAAAATTTGTAAAATGAAATCTAAATGCAAATAATTAGTGTCATAAAGAGTTTAAATAAAAGAAGGTGTGTAAATAGTGACTAATAGCTATATTTAGTGTCTTATTTGGGTACTGTGACACTTCTACTGTGACATGGAAAAAATGTTAACAAAATAAAAAGATTCATTATATTATCAAAATCAATAAAAATGTTTACTCAAGGTAACAGTAAGTGAACAAATTGCAGTTGTTTTGAACTAATCTGTATTTCAGTTGCCTTTTGTTGTTATTCTATACATTCCTTAAAAGTGTGGTCAGAAAATGTGTATTCAACTAAAAATGGTGAATAAATTATCCGTCTTAGGTTGAAGATTGTGTCGGTATATGTGCAACAAATGTGCTTAAATAGTGCTTAAAAAATCCTTTAATTTGGCATTGTATGTCTGTATGAACCCTGAAATCCTTTTGAGATGTTGAATTGTTCCTAGGCCTAAGCATGGATCTTATTGCATTCTGATGGTTCTAAATAACTACATGTTTGTGGATGAGTTAACACTAAAGTAATACTTATTATAGCATAAAATCGGCTATTTTTCCCTCTTTTGCCCATGTTATAACGAGGCCAAAACCATGCGTTAACATTGTCACGCGCTCTTGTTATAGCCCGGTTTTACCTATGCACAATACATACAGGCCCAGTAAACAAACAAAAAAATGACGATTTGGCCTGTTTGCCAGAGTCATGCGCTCTTGTTATATTGGAATTATTAATTCGAGGGCCTCAGTCGCATAACGGCGAGCAGCATTCAAGTAATTATGCCGGCAATACGGCGTATAGACATCGCCGCTTATCTTGGTTGTCACCCTTTCTTAGAAACGGACAGTTGTCAATGTAAACAAATAGAATCTGTCATTCAGCTTAATCCCCCAATTAACTTACAAAAATGGAAAGCACAAAATGAATATAAGAAAATGTTGTTTTTATTGACGTTTAAATTGATAAATGTTCTGTATGTTTCTTTGAGAGAATAATGTTTTATGCCTGATTTTTTTTAAACTTGCGTGCTTAAAAAAGACTGATTCTGAATTTGAATCTGATGTCACTGATCTTTTTCCTATCGCCAATCTCACTAGTAATCATTCTAGGAATTTCTGAGGTGTCTGTTTTGTCTTGGGTAGAGTAATGTTATGTTTTTCTTAAGTTGATATATCTCCAAAGTTAAACTTTGTTAAATCAATTAAAATTCGAAATTTCGTTCGGTTCTCAAGTTGTTGGCCCCGGAAAAAATAAAACGCATACGTAAAACATGTAGAGTTGGATAAATACCGTTCAAGCACAAGGATTTAATGTTTGTGTTTTATATATAATATACATCATGAATCTGTTTTAAAATTTTATGCTATAATAGCGTCAACGCACGTTTATTTCGTGTTATTAAGTCTGCAGAGTCCCTCGGAACTGTTGGAGCCCTCGCCCTACTGGGCTCGGGCACCAACCGTTCCTCGGGACTCTGCAGACGTTATAACACGGAAAAACGTGCGTTAACCCTATAATATTGTCCTTTACCAATGAGATCTTTATAAGCCAAGAATTGTGCCATATGATATTGACAGTGCTGATGGGACCAATACAGTTGGAGTTTACTGTTTTCAAGAAATAAGATGGTAAAATATAAGTCTGCCCTTTTGTCTGATTTATAGTTGATTTTTTTTTAAAATGTCTACCATGTGATATGACATGCTTTGCATAATCTGTGAAGAAGCAAGTCTACTTTATTCTTAGGTAAATATATACAAAGTCTTCTTAGTTATTCTGCAAATATTAACAGTCTTAAATAAGTCTTCTTAAACTTTTAGGCAAATGTATACAACGTTTACTTCTTCTTAGGCCAATATATAGTTATAAAGTGTACCTAATTCTTAGGCCAATACATAGTTACAAAGTCTATTTAATTCTTAGGCAAATGTATAAAAAGTCTACTTAATTCTTAGGCAAATATTTAGTAACAATGTCTACTTAATTCAAAGCTTTTACATTAATAGAGATTTGTTACCTTATATTATTAGACACGTACAGTCAAACATGTGGTATTGTTCTCATAACCACATTTTAAAAAGGTACAGGGATTTTGCCATTTATTCTATGGTGACCATTTTATATTTACATTTAAACAATTATTGTATGCTATTTCTTTTGAAAACCTGTGATCTAAGACTACATTTTCCATTACACGTTTATCAGAAGTATTTGTTTTCATAAATTTGTAGGGAGACACAGACAGGGTCCAGCAACCGCTGTGTGCCGTCAGCCTGGATACCAGACATTGGAGTCAGGACCTGCTTCATGCCTGAATTGGCCACTACACATGATGCAGACCCCTGAACAGTTAGAAGACGATATATTATATCAAAGATTGAAAGCAACTGACTTTAGTGACACAGGTGAAATATCTAAACTAAACTTTCCTGTTAATCTGTCAGCAAAATACTCTTACAGGAATGAATAAATAATATAAAACAAGCAGCTTCACAAAGTAATGTGTTGTTTATTTAAGAAATTTTGCTGAAGGAATCTGTATGGTTTTTCCATGGCTTAAACTATAACTTCATTCTGGCCTGAGCTCATAGGCTTTGTCCGCCCAATAACTTAAGATTCCTTTGACCCACAGTCTTCATATTTGGCATGAAGGTTAGTCATGATTATTAGATGATCCTTATTGATTTTGAGGTCACCAGGTCAAAGTTCAAGGTCACATGGACATTGACTGAACAAATCTTATCCGCCTAATAACTTGAGAATCCTTTGACCCACAGTCTTCATATTTGGCATAGAAATTATTCATGATCAGGAGATGATCCCTATTTATTTTGAGGTCACCAGGTCCAAGGTCACAGGGGCCTTGACTGAGAAAATATTGTCCAGCCAATAACTAAAGAATCCTTTGACCCACAGTCTTCATATTTAGCATGGAGGTTATTCATGATTAGTAGATGATCCCTGTTATTTTGAGGTCGCCAGGTCAAAGTTCAAGGTCACAGGGCAGGGTTTTTTTACTAACAAATTGACACCTATAGTCAGCGTCTTCCCCTCGGTAAATGGCCAGGTTTTTCCCCAAAAATTTCTATTTTCCCTTTGAACTGTTAAGGGATTAAATACTTAAAAGGTAAAGAGTATTAAGTATTTCCATTTCAGCAAATGAAACCCATCAATGGTTGCCCAAAATATCCAAAAATATTGCAGAAAACTGCAATATGTGTTTGAACATGGGGGCCGCCATTTTTTTCTTGGCTATTTTCCGTACTGAACGGTACTATTTCCGGAAATCAAATGCTATCAAAATATCATCTTTTTTGTGGTTATTTTTTTAGTAAAGTAAGAAATTATAAAATCATTCAACACCATACATGTATGTTGTACATACACACTGACAGATGTTGTACTGCAAAGAATAATATTTTGCATGATGATTAAGTATTTAAGGAAAATCAGATGTTGTTGTGACTCTCTACTATGTTGTTTAGTATACAGTATGTATAACAGGATTTTCTGTTTACATTTAAATTTTCCCCAAATTGACTTTTTATGCTCCCCGAAAAAATTTCGAGGGAGCATATAGTCGCCGCCTTGTCCATCCGTCCGTCCCCTTTTCTTGTCCGGGACATAACTTTGAAACAACAAGAGGTATCAACATGAAACTTTGTAGGTAGATAGATCTCATTGAGTAGGTGTGCAGTGCACAAGAACCGTAACTCTGCCTTGCCTAATTTTTGAATTATCCCCCTTTGTTTATTTTACACTTTGAACTTTGTCCGGGACATAACTCTAAAAGTATAAGAGATATCAACATGAAACTTTGTAGGTAGATAGATCTCATTGAGTAGGTGTGCAGTGCACAAGAACCGTAACTCTGCCTTGCCTAATTTTTGAATTACCCCCCTTTGTTTATTTTACACTTTGAAATTTATCCGGGACATAACTCTAAAAGTATAAGAGGTATCAACATGAAACTTTGTAGGTAGATAGATCTCATTGAGTAGGTGTGCAGCGCACAATAACCGTAACTCTGCCTTGTATAATTTTTGAATTATCCCCCTTTGTTTATTTTACACTTTGAACTTTGTCCGGGACGTAACTCTAAAAGTATAAGAGGTATCAACATGAAACTTTGTAGGTAGATAGATCTCATTGAGTAGGTGTGCAGTGAACAAGAACCTTAACTCTGCCTTGCCTAATTTTTGAATTATCCCCCTTTGTTAATTTTTATACTTTGAACTTTGTCCGGGACAAAACTCTTAATGTATAAGAGATATCAACATGAAACTTTGAAGGTAGATAGATCTCATTGAGTAGGTGTGCAGTGAACAAGAACCTTAACTCTGCCTTGCCTAATTTTTGAATTATCCCCCTTTGTTTATTTTTATACTTTGAACTTTGTCCGGGACATAACTCTTAATGTATAAGAGATATCAACATGAAACTTTGTAGGTAGATAGATCTCATTGAGTAAGTTTGCAGTGCACAAGAACTGTAACACTGTCTTGCCTACTTTTGGAGTTATTGCCCTTTGTTCATTTTGACACTTTGAACTTTGTCTGGGACATTACTCTAAAATTATAAGAGATATCAACATGAATCTTTGTAGATAGATAGGTCTCATTGGGTGGAAGTGCAGTGCTTAAGAATCATTACTCTGCCTTGCCTTATTTTGAAGTAATTGCCCTTTGTTTATTTTTACTTTTTGACTTTTGTCCTGGACATTACTTTAAAACTATTAGAGATATCAACATGAAACTTTGTAGGTAGCTAGATATAATTGGGTAGAACTGCAATGCTTAAAGAACCTAAACAAAGCCTGGTCTAATTTTGGAGTTATTGCCCTTTGTTCATTTTCACACTTTGACTTTTACCCGGGACATAACTCTGATATCATCAGGAAACTTTATAGATAGATAGATCTCATTGAATAGAAATGCAGTGCAAAAAAACATAACTCCGCTTTGCCTAATTTTGGAGTTTTTGCCCTTTGTTCATTTTTTATACTTTCCTGTGTCCAGAACCTTCTCGAGGAGCATCACCCGGTTCAACCAGTTCTTGTTTCCTATATATTTTCCCATCCCTACCAGCGTCTAGCATCTTCCCCTTTTCTTAAAAAAAACCCCTGCAGTGAGTGAGGGGCCTGTCAACTTCAAAAAGCTTGTCTGCTCAATTGCTTAAGAATGCTTTGGTCAACAGTCTTCATATTTGGTATTGAGTTGGTTATGACTAGAAGATGACCTCTATTATTTTGTGGTCAGTAGGTCAAAGCTCAAGGTCACAGGGGCCTGAACTTCAAAAAGCTTGTCCGCTCAATTGCTTAAGAATGCTATGGTCAACAGTCTTCATATTTGATAGTGAGGTTGGTTATGACTAGTAGATGACCTCTATTGATTTTGAGGTCACTAGGTCAAAGGTCAGAAGGGCCTTGACTAAAGAAAGCTTAACCGCCTCCGTGGTCGAGGGGTTAGAGTTGATGACTTCTAATCCACTTACCTCTCTGGCGTGGGTTCGATCCACGGGAGATGCTTTGGTAGTTTAGCGCGGAGGAAGGTAGTCTAGTACTGGTGTAACTCTCCAGGAACGATGGTTTGGAAACTACCCGCCTATATGACTAAAATACTGTTGGGAAAAGGCGTAAAATAAAACAAAGAAAAAACAAAGGAAAGCTTATCCACCAAATAACTTAAGAATCATTTGATCCACAATCTTCATATTTGGCATGGTGGTTGATCATAACCATTGACTGACGCCTACAGATTTTGAAGGCTATGGGTCAAAGGTCAAGGTCAAAGGGGCCTTTAGTTCTAAAAGCTTTTCCGCTCAATTGCATAAGAATACTTTGGTCAACAGTCTTCATATTTAGTATTGAGGTTGGTTATGACTATTGCATGACCCCTATTGATTTTTAGCTCGACTATACGAAGTATATGGAGAGCTGTCCTACTCGCCCCGGCGTCGGCGTCCGCGTCCGCGTCCAGATTTTAGATTAAAGTTTTGGTGCAGTAAAATATTTTTCACTATAACTTTGTCATTTCTTAAGGTATCAACTTCAAACTTCAAATATATGTTCCTTATCATCAACCACATCTTATGTGACAAGGTTCATAACTCTAGCACCAATATTTTCAGATTTATCTCCCCTTGAACTTAGAATTTTCCTTAAAAAATACTATTTTTTACTGATACTTCTTTATTTCTTAAGGGATCAACCTAATACTTCAAATATATATACCTTATCATCATCCCCATCTTATGTGACAAGGTTCAAAACTCTAGCACCAATATTTTCAGATTTATCTCCCCTTGAACTTAGAATTTTCCTCAAAAAATACTATTTCTTACTGTTTCTTCTTTATTATGCCCCCATTTCGAAGAAAAGGGGGTATATTGCTTTGCACTTGTCGGTCCGTCGGTCTGTCGGTCCGTCGGTCCGTAGACGAAATGGTTTCCGAGTGATAACTAAAGAACCCTTAGGCCTAGGAACTTCAAACTTGGTATGGTGATTGGTCATGACAAGTAGATGACCCCTATTGATTTTGGGGTCAAGGGGTCAAAGGTCAAGGTCACATTGACCTTGTAAGCAAAAACGGTTTCCGATCAATAACTAAAGAACCTTAAGGCCTAGGAACTTCAAACTTGGTATGGTGATTTGTCATGATCAGTAGATGACCCCTATTGATTTTGGAGTCAAGGGGTCAAAAGTCAAGGTCACATTGACCTCTTGGGTAAAAACGTTTTCTGATCAATAAGTAAAGAACCTTAAGGCCTAGGAACTTCAAACTTGGTATGGTGATTGGTCATGATCAGTAGATGACCCCTATTGATTTTGGGGTCAAGGGGTCAAAGGTCAAGGTCACATTGACCTCTTGGGTAAAAACGTTTTCCGATCAATAACAAAAGAACCCTTAGGCCTAGGAACTTCAAACTTGGTATGGTGATTGGTTATGACCAGCAGATGACCCCTATTGATTTTGGGGTTAAGTGGTCAAAGGTCAAGGTCACATTGACCTTGTAGGTAAAAACGGTTTCCGATCAATAACGAAAGAACCCTTAGGCCTAGGGACTTCAAACTTGATATGGTGATTGGTCATGATCAGTAAGTGACCCTTATTGATTTTGGGGTTAAGGGGTCAAAGGTCAAGGTCACATTGACCTTGTAGGTAAAAACGGTTTCCGATCAATAACGAAAGAACCCTTAGGCCTAGGGACTTCAAACTTGATATGGTGATTGGTCATGATCAGTAGATGACCCCTATTGATTTTGGGGTCAAGGGGTCAAAGGTCAAGGTCACATTGACCTCTTAGGTTAAAACAGTTTCCGATCAATAACTAAAGAACCCTTAGGCCTAGGAACTTCAAACTTGGTATGGTGATTGGTCATGACCAGCAGATGACCTATTGTTTT